CGTTAAAAAGAATGTTATTCAAAAAATATATTCGTATGTATATATAATCTATTATAAGCTTAGCATTATAATAATAAATAATTAGTGATGTCATGGTCGTAGCCGCCATGGCGACTGGCCACGTTTCGTTTTGTAGTCGACGAGATGAAACGTGCCAATGAACTTCACTTGACTTTAAAAAAACATCGAGGGCATTGCTGCTTTAAATTTTTAACCACTAAATAATACGCAATAACCCAAGCTCCGTCTACAGACGAATATGAAAACGCAAAGCAGATGGTTCCTAAATCATAAAGAACTAAAAGAATATGTTGCAAGACGAGGTTTACTTAGCATTAATTAGAGCCCCTAAAAACCAAGCAGGTGTTTGGGCTTTCGATAGCAGCGTCCTATATATACCAAATCGCCAGTACCGTATTAAATCGAACAAGATAAAAAATATAAGGCATTAAAATCAATTTATTAGGTGGCACGACTAAGCTTGTGGCGTAGATTGACCAAAGTATGACTAAATCAAAAAGTAATGCCACAAGGACATTGACTTATAGAAATATCTTTAATGCTGTCTTATCTATTACTCATAATTTAATATCTTACACATATATTTGCACTGAAAAAACAAAACTAAAAACATAGAGTTTTTGCATAACATTTTGTAATATTCTGTATTCTTTTGACAGAAACTAATGTTTAGGTAAATAATGATGATCTGATTCCAAGGTTTGGTTGGAATTTATTTAAGTTTAATCGTGGGATACGTAATTTAATCTTAATTTCTTCAGAAATTGAGCGTGGCTTTCATTACAAGAGTCTTTAAGGTCACGGTAATGTCAACGGTTGGTTTTTTTTTTTATTAGCTCACGTTTCGAATTCAAATTTGTTATCACTGTTATCCGCTCCACTAAATCATTCTGTATGTGATCGCCGTATCATAATATGAATTGAGAAAGTCGAAGCATTTTTAATTTTAAATAAAGAACGCCGTTTGAATTTGTAGTCCTAGTTTACAGATAAAAGCAGACGCATGTTACGTTAATTTTAAATAAAAATTAATTTTAAATAAAGAACGCCGTTTGAATTTGTAGTCCTAGTTTACAGATAATAGCAGACGTATGTTATGTTAATCACGCTTCGGGGTTAGATGCATGTACAATAATCGTTGAATAAATGTATAATCATAGATATTGTTATACTTACTATATTTATTATTTGTACACTATTTGTAACGTACCTATTACACGTGTATTGCAGTGAAACACGGATTTATATTATTTACTTCAACACTATATAATTATAGTGTCAATCAATCAGTTTGACTGCATTGAATAGGCTCCGATATGGATGGGGCGATTTTAAAAATTCTCTCACCTACGAAAAGCTTTATACGCGATAGGCAATAAGTTTTATTTGGGCGAAGTACCGTGAAAACAGCTAGTTTATAAATTGACCAGTTGAACTTTAGTTACAGCATTTTATAAACATAGGCACGTGTATAGCTTTATTATTGTATTATTACTTATGGTACCAATCCAAATATACGCACTACGTAGATTGCGCAATTTAATAAAATAAAATTACGTAGTAAATACATAAGTACAACACGTCATATTTGTTTATATCGTTTTGATACTTCGTCACTTTCTTTTCCTGTGATGTATCATTTATATGCGCAGTATTAATTATTTAGATAGAAGACGGAAGAGTTTGAACGCGGCACGAGGCATGCTTCTTGGTCATCACGTCAGCGACGCACGCGCTACACGTGGGTATTATTACAGACATGGTGGCGACGGAACAGGCCGCATGCAATTAGATAATATTAAAACCCCATATTTTTAATAGGCAGGGTAACGTACATGAGCAGTATGTACGTTACCCTGCCTATTTACGAATTAACATGACACAAAGACACATTTTTTTTTATAATTACGACAGGTGATGCGCAGAGCACAGATAATCTTCACGTTTATGATGATATCAAAATTAAAAAGAACTATTCGAAATTTTCCGAATTTCCGTTCGAAGACAAATAGAACAGTCAGCAGCGTCATGTTTATCCGTATTAGTTATATTTAAATGCTTAGTCTTCAGCAATCGATTTCATCAATAACTACCGATAATGAAAACTATTAAAATAACGATAGCAAAGGTCACTAGAGCAGTGTAGACATCGGACTTGTGTCAACGCAGGTTTCCAGTTCACTGTGCTAATGTGAAGTATCAGCGTGATAAGAATTTTATACATTGTCTGCCTTTTATCTGCCAGACTAATCTCTTCATTCAAGTCCCCTTGACCTATTACGGCATTTAGCTGCGCAATACTTTAGGCGTTTAGTGCGAATTTTTATTTTAGATAACGGCGCCGGTGACAACGACCGTCACACTTTAGAAGGCGGTGCGTATGGCCCGAGCCGCCGCGATGGACACGCCTCGACGGCGTGCTTTCCGTAGTAGGTCTATTGAAGATTATAAATCAACAATGATAACCTTGCTTCATATACGTGATCGCAACGAGCACGCGGAAAAATGTCTGAGCTGATGTCGAATGAGATTATAATATACTTGTACTTCGAATTTTCTCTAAATATTTGGGACATGTAACCAAGAGGCGCAGACGTTCAACATAGTTTTTACACCGAAATAATAGTTTTCAAACGTCTCAACTGATTTAAACAAGAAAAATATTTTAGAACTAATACACAGTATTTTCCTACCCTTGCGTTTTTTTACAATCTATTGCAATACAACGCGAAATTTTAAAAGCAAATATTAATATAGGTAATATTTCAACAGCTTCATCACTAAGGATCAAATATAATATTTCCACAATTGCTCAAACTAACCAAATTGAACTTTACCAAGAAATTAAGGTTTAAAATCTATTTGAGAAAATTATTAATTGATGATGTGTTGGTACTATACTATTAAAGACTATTGGACGACAGTCAACTGGCCAGTGGCACTTCGTGGTTATGATGTCGTACCTACACAGTGCGCGTTTATCTCTGATAGATTAGGGACAAGGCCATTAGTTTACGGACAACACTATATAATGGCCTAATGCATATTATTGATACAAGTTCCTGATAATTCTATTGTAACATACAAGCAAACAAACGAAACACTAATGAGGCAAATTAACATTGTATGTTAATTTATGATTCCGGGTCATTTGTGTTTCAATTTAAAGATGAGTAATTTCGCACATGGCTGTTATAAGTTTACTTTTGTTTAAAGATGTCTGTGTGTAAAAGAAAAAAAAAACTGTTTAAATATTCTTATTTTGAATTAAATGCAAAATTTCTGAATATCCATCCATATTCAGTATAATGTACTCGTGGGGAGTAATGACATCATAAGATGATCCAAAGGACAGCAGAATGTGTACGAGCCGAATTGTCAGAATTCTAATGTCACCTGTTAATGACAGGGTGTAAAGAAAATTCGTTTCGTCTGCCAAGGAGGTTTCGGCTCTGATATATGTAATCTATGCGATCACCGTAAGAAGGATTCATTTATTTATGATTATGAGAAAACCCATATATTGGTCGATATTGGTACATTAATATTAGTTTGAATTATTTGATACATAGGTTCCATTATACATTACAAATCGGTTGCAATGCTGCTACAAATAGCATTCCGAATAAACTCTAATTACCAATAAATATTGCTTATTTGCAATTAGTTTCATTGAGTTCATGGTTCTTTATAAAGAAATTTATTTTATGAAACAATTTGTTCAATACTATTAATAGTAATAATACTACTGAATCGGTCAGATAATATATGAAATTAAGGAACAATGAAAATATCCTTTATTGAAATAAGCTTATTTCAAACACTTATGAATAATCGATGTCTTCCTATTATACGTTCGGAACTTCTTTTGGCTGACAAGAAGAACGAGCGAACGAGCAGGACTCGGAAATATAGTTTATACCAGTAACCAGCTCGTAAGTCCATTAACTACTCCTACATTTTAAGAGCCTTTCCATTTGCGTTTCAGTTACCTACCTACATATTTAGAATTGAAATGATTTCGGTTCTGGTCCAAGATCAAAACAAACTTTCGTTACTTTGCCCATTAACTCTATTCGACTAGTAGTCACTCGTAGTGGGCAAAATTTAGATTTCGAAGTGACGGTGGTCCAAGCCAACTTCCATTTTTTCAAACTGACAGTCAGTTTAATTCCAGTTGTTATAATATTTCTAAAACGATTCTGATAAATGCGAGCACTTTTGGTTCTGCGACTCCACCGTGTAGTTGAAGCTCTGACAGTCAATAGACCAATTAGGATAGATAGATAAATACTCTTTATTGCTCACACATAAAGGAAAAATTTACAGAAAATAATCCTGATTGATCTGCTGTCTGTTTGAGAGTAAAATACCAGCAACATGTGACATGTGACTTGGACTTCACGTTGATAAAAAAGACTGGTAAATCCCAAATAAAATACAATATGAGTGGTTTCAGTGTAATAACTGGCGTCTTAGTCATCTATCAATGCCTATGCATCACACGAAATAGTTTCACTAAAACACTACATTGCATTTTGATGAAATTTATATTTCTGCATATGTCACCTGAAAATGCCGTGAAATTATAGATACAATGGACAAACGGATTATTTAAATCTCGTTTGGATTATCCCGTGTTTGGGATTCCTCTCTGCGATTACCTAAATAATCGTTGTTAAATGGATTTAAACGAATATTCCCAATTTCCGAATTTTTTGTACAATACTTTTGCAATGGCAACGAAATAATAAAATTTATTCAACACGTAAAAATACACATCAGTGTAACTTCCATGCATTGAATTACATAAATAGCATCAAACTCATATGCGTGCGATAGGAAATAAGGTTTCCACAATTGTAAACTCTGCAACACCTACTAAAAGTAATAATTATCCATCGTATTAGTCTATGTATAAGTAAAATTTACATGTGTACTAAATATTATTTGGATATTCTCTATTCTATATGACTCACCTCCATGACGACGTAAACATAGGCAGGGCTATCCATGCAATCGTGCATGGCCACGAGGTTTGTATGATGGAGAGCAGTGAGCTCTCGCAAAATCTTGATTTCTTTGACCAAGATCTCTGACGCTTTTTGGATACCCTTCTTGGTCACCACTTTGACGGCTACCGATTGCGACGGGTTCTGAGAAAATAAAAGTTTGGTTAAGTGAAATATAAAAAATTCACGTCTTTTACTAATATGTAGGTATACTTCAGAAATAGGCCATACTCGACTTATAAATAATAAAGATGAGTTTCCAGTTTGTGTTACTGAGGATTTAACAAAAAAGAAGAAAGAATTTAAAGTGTTGTCAGGTTTTTACTAGACAGTCGGTTTATTGTTAATTGACTAATACAGATCACATGTTACGCTTGTTACACAAGTAATAACAAGGCCTAGAATAACACTATACATTATTTATAATTCAAGTCAACTTAATATAATGATAACGCGAGTGCAGCCAGCGTTACATAAGGCCGTTGCAGGTGGGCGACTAGTATGTCCAAGGCCTTTGTCTACATCTTCTTAAACGTCTCCTTATGTTAGTCATATTAAGTAGTCAATCCGAAGGCAATTCATTTCCATATACAATGTATGATTATATTTTAAAACGTAATTAAAAATAGTAACTCTTTTGCTGTGTAGTTATTTTACACTAATTTATTTGACATGCCTTGATTCTTATGTAAAGGTCCGCAAATGGTCAAATCGTTTGGGTTTCGCGGACGTGGCAGAACTGTCCGGGATTTATTTTTTATTTTTTGTTACCACTAGATATCTAATGACGACATAGTACCCGAGACCGGTGCGATAGATAATATCGCACATGACAATCTTTTTAAAGTTTGTGCTACCATTATACTCTGGTGTCTGGTGACTAGTAAGCGTGTTTTCACGAAGGCATAATAAAGCACCACAAATAAGTTTTATGTTTACTTTCACACGCTTCATTCTCAAAGAGTAGTTTTTGGGTTAAATGAGTGTCATATCCTAGATTTTACAGACGGGAGCCATAGTTACGTGTTACGTAGAGTGGATAAATCTTGAATTGATTTTAGAATTAAATTTAGCCGACATATGCTCGTGTAGAGATTACATTTAACCTGATTTCGACATGAGCTTCAAACGATTGGACTATTTCTAGCATAAACATATTGGCACGTAAATTGATTCATTTTCTGTTGGCAACAAATGGATATATTATTTGTATCATGATCAAACATCATATTGATAGAAATTACATACCTATATCATTGCTCTATAATCATTATATTGACTAATGGTGAGAAAGATATGATCGAATGCATTTCCGTGATCATTGCATGCATCTACAACACACGAGTGTCCTTGGACAGGGTGTGCATCGTGCGTGTCATATTGTTTGTTACAACTAGTATTGTGTAGAGGGAAACAAAGATACGAAACACAAACCACTCAGGTAGTCGGCACAGGATATGGAAACTGACCACACTGAACCGACAGGATTACCTGCTAACGTCACACGCGTCTGTTATTCATTATGTGCTCGGCAATTTTACACTTACAGAACACTATAATAGATGTGGGTTTGAAATATATTCACTAATGGGAAGTGTTGTTAAAGTTGTACCCTTACGTATTTTTGGATGATGAGACTAATTTTAATTTTTCTCGCCAGAAAACTGTAACAGGATGAGTTCTGTACATTACTAGTGTGTTAAGATAGGGCTTATTACCAGATGAATCTCCCTGTATTTCATTGCGGGATAAATTTTTAAACAGATAAAAATGGACTAAAAAGTTGCTGTAACCTTGTGTCAGTTAAGAACATACGTCGACAATATGGATAAAATGTTGTCTTTATCAGGTCTATTCCATCATGTCAGTCGTATCTTGTTTAGATCTCGACAAAACGATCCTGTAGCAAAGGTTACTTACGGTCATTTTTTGAACTAGGAACTGATTGAGCATGATTAACAGTTTCTTTTATGCGGAATGAAAACGCGTGTAAAAAGCGGGTTCTTTATGAAGATGTAAAAGAGAAAAGGTTTTACAAGAAACCAACATTAAATTAGATACAGTGCAAAAGTAGTAAAAAAAGTAATCTATACTAATATTATAAAGAGGAAAAAAAGAAAAAGAACATATTTGATGTTTTGTAAGGCTCTGAAAAGACTGGACCGATTTGAAAAATCCTTTCACCTACGGGAATCTACATCATAAGCAACGCGAGTGACATCTAATATTATAAAAGTTGCTATCCACTGTATGTAGAAACGCCGTGATCTTTTAAACTGCACAAAGGATTTACATATGGTTTATGTGTAATACAGGACCACGCAGATGAAACTGCTGGCGTGAAACTAATGGAATATAATTTACGAGGGCAAAGTTGCGGAAAAACGGCTAGTTATTGATAATTTATTCACCATTATGCAGAAAAGTATAATTTTTGTTATATCAACATAATGAGACTGATCTTCGAATACCTTAATATAGATAAATTGAAGCGTATAATCTTAGACGGGAACCCTAAAATATAGAGTAGTCATGCTCTGTTGACGAGGTCATTTGCTCTTGACCACATAATAAGGTTCTTCCACGAGAATAAACTTCAAGTGGAAATGATCTCACCAAGAGTAGGTACGTTCTTACACTAAACATGTACATATGTCGATATAACTTGTCTATGTAGAGAATGAGGGTATTCAACTTATAAGGTATTGTTTTGCATCAGATTTCTACATCCATCGTTTCATTTTTTCTATAATAAAAATGCGGTTATAAATACGTATATGAATTGTGTTGCACGTTATTGACTTAAAGTGAACACTTGGCTTCAATACAATCTTTATTCACATTTTTAACAAATTGGTAACAATCCATCACGGAGGTGTTTTAAAAACGTAGAAAAGTACGTTCTCAGCGAAATAACTAAAATAGATTTGGCAAAGTACGTAATTTTGGTGATGTATGTATTGTTAAATTGCGTCATATTTTGTTTACATAATTATCATTAAAATAGGTAGGTGGTAGCCAAGGCTCCTGATTACATGTTAAAACAAAGATGGTATTGACATTGTCGTAGTAAACGACATTTATTATTGATAAAACACACGATCCTATCTACTAATATAGGTACATCTGTTTACTTAAATAGTAAAATGAACCGCGTCGATAAAAGACGTGATAAAATGGAACGAATATGACCCTTTCAAACCGGCGAGTTAGATAAAATCCCGAGTTATCTATTTGTTGTGCAGTGATCCTTTTTTGGTTATTCTATATCGGCGCATAAACATACGTTAACAGTTCCAACTAGTTAAAATATATCTATTTTAATTAAGGGCACGTGCAAAATAACCCACTTATAAAACCAGCTTACGCGAAACCGGACTTTATGGGAGCAGCTGATCACAGACCAGCTTATTTTATCGTAGAACAACAGTTCATACACATTCTGAATGTATCAATATTATTTAAGTAAACAATGAAATGGATAAGCATGAGGTAAATAAATAGATACTTCCACTATCACTAAAGTACTGTTTTTTATTTTGTTTAATTTAGTGCTTAAGAATTAATAGACTTGACCTCATCATTTGCATACCGAAGAGTAAGAATAATGATCATAACAATTTAACAAGCGTCATCCTGTCTCCTATTTCCTCTGTACCTAAGTATTTTTATACCTTCACAATTCACATAGCTTAAAAACAATGTATATACTCGATGGGTCCTCAGAGACTTATCTAATCTTTGTTTAGAATGGGACCACCACTGGTCTGATGTTAAGTTCACTAATTTGACTCATAATCTGTTAGCAGTTTTCATTCAAGTGGCCGATGATGATGATTGATGATTTGGCGACTGCCACATCAATTAAGTAGATTTAAAGCTTTTGTTTCAGAGATATCTCTGAGAAAGTCTAGCTAGTCTCTCCCACAATAAATTACATGTTAAGTAATGCTATGAACAATTGTTGTATATTTTTATTAAGACGCTATTTAAATTATTCATATTATCAAATATAAAATAAGCTAGCATATGTTTTAAGCACATTTTATTTAAAATATGTATTTACAGTTACAAGCATAACTAATCAGGGATAACGGAGGTCTATATGGAATCTTATTTATCAAGGATTAATTTATATTTGCATTGAAAGTATTAGACAAAATCAATGTATCAGCCAGGATATCTATGAGTTAGATAGGGGCAGAGCTTGGTGTATTGCATGAAATAAACTATTTTTAATACTCCCTAAACTATCATGAATATCATAAAAGTTCTTAATCTATCTACAAAGTGACATACATATTTATCAATTTTCCCTGTTATAAAAAGTATAATTATAAGAAAAAGAATTGAATTTAATAGTAACTTTTTAATTTATTTCTAATGAAAAAAAAAGAATATATATATATTCATGATTGCTCCATACTCTCACATTTATGATATAGTTTTTTTTTTTTAATTACAGATTATTTTAGATATTATTTATTTATACAACATCAATTGAAAGATTGAGATTTATGGTTCAAACAGCTTCTTAATTAATTATTAAAAATATACAAATGTAATATTAATGTTTTGTGATTAAAAATCTGATAAATTTAAGAAATAACATACTCAATGTTTAATACTTTATAATGTGACATTCATTAGGTCTATTTAAGAAATTGACAAAATCAAACTCTAAATATGAAAAGAAAAAAAATATTTTTAACTGCAGATCGAATATTAACTTAATTTTTGATGTTTTGTTTAATATTTCAGAATGTTTATATAATGGAGTTTATAATATTGTAAAGAGTAAAAATATAAGTGTGCATTGGAAATCAATATTTGATTAGATAATGTGAATTTACTACAACATTAGTAATAAAAATAAAAAAATAAGCAAGCAGGTCTCTAGCTTCGGATTTGCATGGGCAAGTTGAAACAATTTATATTATTATTTTATAAAAAAAACATTTAGGAACACTTAAATATAATCTTCAGGGATAAAAAATGCTATAAAACTAGGTTAAATCACATTATACACTCCTTTTATAATTTCTGTATTAACATAGTGGACATTTTAAATAGCTATAAAGTTGTTATTCATCTTTAAACATGAAATGATCTAGTAGACACAGCTTTAGGCATTGTCTGAATCTTATAAATAATACATAAAATACACTAAATCTGACTAATTCCCCTGTTTCTTCTAGAAATTATTAAAGTGTATTTTATTACTTACTGAATCATTTTTATTTTATTGAAATACTAAAAATGCAACTTTTTAAAGCCTTTTTAATATTATAAATAGAAAACTCTCTTAAGATAAATATTCAATTAATAACACAACAAAAATATTCAACTAAACCAAAGCACAGTACTTCTCTCACTTTGGCATCACACTGTTGTATCTACTTCTATTTATAAACAAAGCATTAAACAAAATCAGCTGTTACATAGAACTATATATTGGCTGTAGTGAATCAGAATAACAAGAAACCAACAAGCTAATAATGTTGTCGTAAAAGTAGAGAATATTGTATAAGTATTCTAATAAAAAAAGTTAGTAGGTAGGTAGCGTGACTATTTAAAATCTAAAAGGTATTCACGATGACGTACTACCGCCACCCACAGTCGCAAAAGATCAATAACGCGGAAGAAGTCAAATAATATAATTCAACTTAGAAAATAATCGAAAAACTAAAATGAGAGGAAATCGATAATAGTCTCAAACAGAGCAGGAACAATGAAAACTGGCTAATCATACCTTTCTCTTCCTTCCTTTGTATACCATAGCAAAGGCTCCATGTCCAATAATATCTTGTTTTGTGAATTCGTATTCACCAACTTGAATGACTTCCATCTTCATCATTTTTCCTTTAACCACAGACATTTTAACAGTTTCTATTTATTTACAGTCCAGTGTAACAAAAGATCAATAAAATAACATAGGATTGCGGATTTGGGAACTTGACTAAGCGCTACATTCTGATCACAGTTTGCTTCTAATCACTTCCTAATTTTCAGATATATTTACTTATTCACTTTAACACTATCTAACTAAACATTGTTACAGTTTTATTCATAACACAACACGCGACGCAAAATGTGTGAAAAGTGATTTTATTTTGTGTTGATTTTACGGAGTAAAAGACGATGTGACCATAGCTTAAAAATCTAACAAATAGTAGGATATAGTAGAATAGTTTTGGAATCGCTACTTATGAAGACAACAGACATCAACAAAGTTTGAGCATACATTTATAGAACAAAGACTTGGTTTTAAATAATTGTGTTGCTAAGATTGCTAATAGAATGGATAATAGAAAGGCATGGAGATAATATTTTTTATTCAAAGCTCGAGAAATTCCATAACAACATCATCTAGTCCTTTTATAACACAAAAAAATGCAATACAACACAACTATCCACGCTTTACTAAATATTGCAACAAGTCTGGCACATAGGCCAAACAAACATTAAAGTTGGTTTTCTTCAATGTACTAACAAAATTAACTTTTGATGGCAAACTAAAAATGTGTATTACTTTGTACAAATCCGCAAATCCCAGTGCAAAAATTCGCGTATTGTGGGTATTTGAGCATTTGAACACATGTCGAGTTACGAGTAGGGATATAAAGTTTGTAATAATAACAATAATGACAATTTCTATCGATACATCGGTCGGTTGGTTTTGTATTTTTAAATTTTTTTCCTTTTTAATATTTAACAATACATCACGTAATGAAGTATGTAAATAATAAAAATATTTTGATAATGTGTAGAATATAAAATTAGTATTAGTTAATAATTTCATACATTACGAGGGCAAGTTTAAGGGTGCACATACAACTTCAGCAATAAAATATATTTAAAGAATCTCAATAAAAAAGTAAAACTTTAAATTTTAATCAAGTTAAAAGTGCATGCATAACAATTTGTAATTTTATAATAATTTACAGTAACTAATAATAAAATCTTGTAAATCAATTCTAAGAGTTCAAATTGAGATTCATTACAACCGCCTTACGAGTCACAATAAAGTGTACGCGTCAATCTTGGTCCAAGTACAAAATTGGCCGAAGTATATATTATATGTAGTTATTTTGTGTTTAAGTACAAAATTGGCCGAAGTTTATATTATATGTAGTTATTTTGTAATTAACGCGTCGCAATTCGGTTTTTTGTTTTCGCTTTCAAGTCGCGATGTTTAGAGCTGAACTCAAAGCCTTTTTACACTATCGAATGTCTAGGGTCCCTTAACCTTAGAGTAGTAAGAGGAAAGGTAATAATAGTTAGGGAGTAATGGACCCTAGAATATAGGGTGATCGACGCATGTTCTCTCTTTAAAGCATTCTTACATTACTAAATTTCTTGATTCACCTATCCTATATAATTGCACTATAACTACAGTAAGCTATATTAGTATCAACACATGGTTATTTACACAGATTATAGAAAATATTTAATATAAATCACTTAGATAACAAAGAATCTCTGGTAACAATTTTGATGTTGATCTATGGTAAAAACTGAGTTGGGTTCAATTTCTACAGTAGTTTAATAAGCACTACACTAACTAGGGGATACGCTCGCCCATCCGATATACTGGGCTCTTGAAATTGAGTAGTGCAATAAGTTTTCAATGGCGTAGCGTGCCGTGAAGGGGACCTGTATTAAAATTAGTTGGGGAGGCCCAAATGAAGGGTTAAAAATTTTGCTTAACGTTTTTATATTGGCATTTAAGCTTTATTAGCTAAATATATATTTTTGGGCTATAGGAGTAAGCTGAAATTTATTATAATGTGTAGAATATTTTATTAGATAGTGACAACACTAAAATTAAAAAAGTTAGCTTTTTAAGTCTGGTGTCGACTACACTCGCCACGCCGAGACGATCTAGTAGGGTCATAGAAAATACATAATACTATAAAACCACTAGGGCATTTGACACTTGAAAATATTGCATGTTCTTGTCATCATGTTAGATAATAATCTAATAAAGTTAATTTCTTAGAATCTGCTAACAAAATATGTTTAGTTTTAGTAAAATAACGTAAAGAAAGTACATCATTTTTAGGAATTTAATGAAAGTCGTTAACGCCCTGTAAACGGTTGTCATCGCAACCAGTAACAAGTTCTGTTCACTGGCGTGTAATTACACACGTAAACAGGAAACTGTCATGACAAAACTGTTATTAGAGGTACGTAACATTTGTATTTATATATATAATTTGTAGCTAATTTTTATGAACAAATACAAAACATAAAATTTAACTTCTTTTTCTCTTCTGTAATACTATTTGTTTACTGCATAAATAAATAATTGATAAATAGGTTATGTGGCCTTGAAATATTAACAGACGTGTGACGTCACAAATATCAAATGACCAGCGCCATTACCTTGAGCAGTATTTTTTACTTGATTTTGTCTATTAAAATTTAAATGTGAAAACCCTGCTTGATTTGTGCAACTAAGTTTGGCGAATAGACGAAGCGGACTGGAAGTATAATAGTCCTAATTCACAAAAATGGGTTGATAAAACAGTGTTCAAACTATCGAACTGTCGCATTCACCTCTCACGCAAGCAAAATAATGCTTTATGTGATCAGAAGGCTACAAACTTAGCTTCAACGGCAAATACCAAATGAACAAACTAGTTTTGTCAAAGGCAGAGATACCAGAAGCCAAGAGTTCAATGTCCCGAAATTTCTCTGCTTTGATCACTCGAAGGTATTTGACTGCGCACGGTTGAACTACTTGTCGCACATTTTGCAGGAAATGGGTGTACCTTCGAACTTTGATCAAAAGCCTGTACAAAAATGGTGATTTAAATATCAGGATCAATGACATCATTGATAAATGCTTCTAAGATCAAATTATCTTACTAGCATTTAAACCAGAGCAAGGAATGCTCCTGGGGTGTATACCTACTTTCCCCTCTCCTGTTCAACACATACGGTGAATATATCATGAGAAGAGCTTTAGATAAATGGGACGGTGGAATCGTAATAGGTAGGAAGAAGATTACCAACCTCAGATACTTAGATGACACTATACTATGAGATCACTATGAGAGTGAACTGGCAAAGCAAAAGCGAGAGCGAAAAGATTGGTTTGCCTATGAACAGATCAAAAACTAAAGTTATATGCATCGACAGAGCAAGTCAGCTCCTGCAAACCGTGACTATAGCCGATATACATAGAATATTTGAGCGAGTTCATCTACCTGGGATCCAAAATTAGCGACCGGGGTTGTGACAGGACGATTCCACTCCGGACACAAATTCCAAAAAATGTTACGATCAAAATGATGGACACTGATATTTCCAATCTTCTTGTATGCATCTGAATCCTGGACAATTCGAAGTGAAGACCGTAAATAATCGACGCCTTCGAATCACCATTCGATGCTAATGTGGGATGCTCCGCATATCGTGGACAGCAACGAGAACAAATGAATGGAACCTTTACCAGCTAAAGATTAAAACCAGATTCTCTACCATCAGTCAGATTTTCTAGTTAAACCTGACCCGCTGGTCTGACTTTGTGCGAGCGGCGATGGGGCTAACTAAAACCGAAGTGCTCCAACAGATTGATGACAGGAAGGCGTGGATTCAATTCGTCAATTCCATTTACAACATTTACATTTACCACATTTACAATACGACAAGAACGACCTTCAGTAATAACGTTTGCGACTAAGAAGAAGTACAAGCTAGATTCCTTTACTTGAAATCTTAAAAAGTCATAAGCTGTCACTGTCAAATTTCGACATTTGTTAATCGAAAAAAAAAATCGCCTCTAAAGTGTCTGGTTTCTTTCTTTTTGAAAGGAAGGATTCATATTTAATTCTTTTGTGTATTCTAGTATGATACTGTTTTATTGACATTTGATTTAATTATTTCACTAAATTAGCTTTAACAATGGCGGACAGAGATCTTACCATGGGTCCCCGGGAAGGCATTACATACCCAATAAAAGTGCAGTATTGCGGGAATTGCTCAATGCCGATAGAATATTGTGAATATTATCCTGAATATGATAAATGTAAACAATGGCTTGAAAAAAACTTACCCACTGAATTTGAAAAAGTTAAAATTGGTTTGTACTTTTCTCACACTAAAATTTAAAGTAATAAACATAGATTACAGGTTATATGTTAACCTCCTGAACTCTATTTTTAGATGAAGAAGAGAATGCGGGTGGAGAAGAGGAAAAAAAGCGACAAAAACGAGGGGGCAAAGGTATGTTGAAGTCAAAGAAGAAGGAAGATGTCCCCAAGCTAGTTCAAGTTTCTCGTGCTCCTCGTGGAAAGAAAAAATCTGTTACTGTTGTGTCAGGACTCAGTACTTTTGGTGAGTTTATATAATTTACATGAAAAGTCTATTTTTGACAAGGAGAATATATAGTTTATGGCACAGTAAATCACTGCTTCTTGGTGTGAATGTCAACATATAATCAAGATATAGCTTGACACAATAATTGTAAAACATATAACTAATAGATTGTTTCATTGATTTCTAGATATTGACTTGAAAGTGGCTGCAAAGTTTTTTGGAACAAAGTTTGCATGTGGTTCTTCTGTTACTGGTGATGATGAGATTGTAATCCAAGGAGATGTAAAAGATGATCTTTTTGATATTATACCAGAAAAATGGCCAGAGGTAAGAGATAAAATATGGATAAACTGATTCCTGTTCTAAACACTTTACATTTATTATGTAGCAGGAATGCACTTATGATTTATAATAATGATAATTGCTGAGACTGAATACTCTATACTCATACTAACAATAAATCTTATAAATATCAATTGATATATATGTCACAATACATGACTGTTGATATTCATCAGCGAACCCTGCTCAGTATATATTAGAGTACACCACATACTTTAATTGGATCCCAAATTAAGTAGCTTTAGCACTTATATACCTTGAAGGTAAGTAACAAGTTTCACAACACCCAAGCCTCAGACTTTGGTCCCCATATTAGTGACACTTTAAAACTGGCATGCAAGTTTTTGAAATTTAAGTATTTATACTTCATCATAGTTAATGTCAGTATTATGTGATGGTATGATGTAAAATTCCTTGTCAAGTGTTACATTGCCAATGCTACATTTTTCAATTAAAAAATAAATATATTTGTTATCATAAATAGTTTCTGCATAACTGTGTGAGGAATTCTACAGTGCTTTTAAATAGATCTATTCCATCTGCACCTAACTGTACTTCTCAATTTATTTTATATTCGCCATTATTGTCTTCAATACTATAACATCACATCACCAGCCCTTTTACGTCCCCACTGCAGGGGCTCAGGCCTTCCTTATGGATGGTTTAGGAGGATGGGCCATGACCCTCCACGCTGACCCAATGTGGATTGGAGGGTATTAGCAAATGCAGCCGGGACCAACGGCTTAACGTACCTTCCGAAGCACGGAGTAGCTCGAGATAATAATTTTTTGGTCACCCATCTCCTGACCGACCCTTGCGAAAGTTGCTTAACGACTACGATTGCGGGCCGCGGCGCTTATCCACTACGCCACCGAGCTACTCACTATAACATATTAATTACCATATCTAATTGTTTCAGATCGATGAAGATAGTATTGAAGATTTAGGAGATCAGAAGAGATAGTTAAAATATTTAATATTGACTCTTTTATGTCCATATTTATTAGCAGAACTTCAGTGAAATGTATTGTTTTGTGTTCAAATCATATTTTCTGTCAAGTATTTAATGTCCTCAAGTATTAATAGTTGAGGAAAAACTAATAGTTGAGGATTCTATTACATTAAACAACATTTTCCAATGTTTTATATCAGCTAAGTTTATAGCTTATAATTTAATAAAACAAATATAACACTAATTATTTTCAAGTTTTATTGAACTTCATTTTTATCTAATTTAGAAGGTACATAACTAAGTACCAACGTAGTATCAACCCCTCTCGTTCCATCAGGTGCAGTAGCAAGCTACAAAAGCATACAGCTATTAGTAGACGGTAAGTAGTATCTCCTCAAATAATCTTAGGCCCACTACGATCGTCCACGTGTTTGTCGAAGCATATGGATTATGTCAAACCTCCAAAATTAGCAAGATTATGGGATAGGCTTTGAAGTGGGCGGCATATGGCTGTCGATTTATCTTTGTCATGTATTCTTGACAGAGGGAATGCGATAATTTTTGAGGTCGAGTCGCCATGTTTGTTCGGAGAGATGAGCGCAATCGTTTATATCGAAATCCGTTACAGATTTAGTGAGGTCTGACAAACGTCATGGCGAGCGTCCGCAGGATCTTTTATCCTCGACTTTCCCTGCACCATCACTCGTATAGTGTCCTCATTGCGGGTGATATGCCCAAAGACCTTAAGGATTCGCAATTCCACAGTCAACGGTAAACTCTCCTGAATATTCAGTTCTTGCATGATCGACACGTCGGAGACTGCAATGAAGAGTTTGATTAACCAAGCCATAATACAACTTTTTTAGTTCAGATTTGGCAGTCGTCTCTTTTGTTTTTTTTTGTCGAAATTCGAAACTGGTGAGCTCGGCCAAGTTCACACAACTCGCACCACGCCCTGCCAATATGGCAACGCTTTAGACTATAGTTTAAGTAGTGAAAAATAAATCACGAAATATCACAAAATCTAAAATTTACATTGAAATAAAAGATATTCTGATTTTAAGCCATAAACCGTCAGTGGCACAAACGTCCATTATGGTTTAATGTAGCTTTAAACTAATGACTTTTAATGGACGTCTGTGCAACTATTTTGTCTATGTATCACGTGACCTGAAATACGACCCTATTTAGGGTTCCCACATCCATAGGGTAAGAAGAAACCCGTTTTAACCTTTGAGCACGGAACCAAGCTGTACCTCATGAACCGCGGTAGTTAGACAGTTGATAAATATTTAAGTGGGCCCCCGTACAACCGACGTGATTTTATGCCGTTTTAAAGATAATGGTACGGATCCTTTCGACGTGCAAGTCTGACGCGGTGGGGAATCGGAGTCCCGGATCCGGCAATTAGTCCGCTGGGTTCATCCCTATAACCATTAATTACCCTTTTTGTCCTAGGGGAAATGCTCTATGCACTGTCCTTGCCCCTTGACAGGCGACAGGGGATGTGTGGGACTCCCCATCCACCTGAAGGCTAGTCAAAACTAGGATGGCATACCCACTAAACCCAAGACCTTTTCATTAAGAATATTTTTCAGTATAGCATTGTGAATGCAATATTGATGAAATATAATAAATAGAAATAATTTTCATCTTTATCGAAAATTTAAAATATTTGTGTAAACATTTCTCTCGGCTGTTTGGGTGGATTTCCTGAACATTGATGAAAATACGCACTGTAGTAGCGAAAAAGTAACAAGTGCTTGAAAAATTCGCCAGTCCTGTTAGGTTCTGGGTAGCTCAGTGGTTACAGCAGTCCCCGGATTGTGAACAGTCGTGGGTTCGAATCCCATCTCAGATTACCAGCATTTTTCACTATAGCACTGTGAACGCAAAAATTTATCAATTATAATATTTAGGACTCAAGTTGACTATACTCGATCGCCAGCCACTAATAAATTGTTTTTTCAAATGATTTTTAATCACAATATTATTTTCGAGTTACTCCGAAATTTTTAATTTCAAGGGACCACGAACACTTATTATTCATTAAAAATATTGTAAACACTTAGCAAAGTTATAAAGGACATCGAGTGCCGGCACAATTATTTTTTAAATTATTTTCAAAATGTCTTAATCATTTTATTCATGATAAAAATTACGCTTTTAAATTTGAAAGATTTGTCTTCTTTACTATGTGGGTATTACAATAAGTCATTGAATAGGTTTTTATAATGCCTTAAACGTTCTCAAAAATTAATATATTCTGAGATAGCGGATTGCAATTAAATACAAGTAGCGATTTTAACTCGCTTCATAATATTTGACTATCATGCGTTGATGTCTTTTTTGGGCAACAATTAGCACCGATAAAGAAATGGTTTGGTACTATTCTATATATTAAATTACTGTGTTACATGTGTATAAAGTCAATCAATAAAATCATTGATGGACCATTGACACGAGGCCAAAATAAGAAATGAGTATTTTTTTTCAGCCCATCAGGTTCATTGAAGAATATTATACACGTATTTTTATTTTTTGCGTAATCAATAAATTACGGCGAGTCCACCTTTGTACATTTTCTACATAGTTGTGACGTAGCGAACCCCCACTCCTCAACTTGAATGCCTAATGTCTAAGCTATTTTTTGTTAATTTGAAGCAAAAACAATGCGTATCGAATATTTTTCTATTATCTGATTGACGGACTAAATAGAATTTCTTTTTTTTATCTAGGCATAATTTCTATTCTAGGCATCTCAGTACAGTAAACTTCATCACCAGCTCATTAATCTTCCCACAGCTGGGGCTCACTCTTTCCCTATGCATATGGAATCGACTCGAATCGAATAGGGAGAATGGGCCATGACCCACAACGCGAGCCCCGTGCGGATTGGCGAGTGTTAACGACTGCAGATGCAGCTGAGACCAACGGCTTAACGTGCCTTCCGAAGCATAGAGGAAGCCGAGGTATTAAAGTTTTTTTCACCCATCCTATGACTGGCCATTTCAAAAATTGGATTAACAACATATATATTGCATATAACCATTGCGTCGTAGAGCTCATGTAGTAAACTTACGGTCACCCATCCCATGACGGACCTTTGCGAAACTTCCGTATCGTTGACTAAATGCGTAAATCACTGGGCCATCATGCGCATAATATTACATCTACAATATTTACGAATATTAAATAAAAGGCTGACAGTTAAAGTATCAATTTACTGAATACAATAATATCGATACAAAAAGTTTATCGGACTTTGGTTTGGTGTTAGGTACATTTATTTTTTGGATGTTTGTACAAATTATAAAGTGTTATAAATTTCCCTGCTGTTAATAAGTGTTATTTGCATTTCATCTTTTTGTGTTGAACACTACTACTACTTTAAAATAAATAATGTAATAATAATATCATAATGTCACATTCTCGTTGGTGAGTCTTATAAAAGAAAAAAAAAATTGTCATACCTATTGCGTTTTTTGTGTATAATATTTATTTTTTATCTTTTTTCTCTGTGGTGTCATCCGTTAGGGAAGTTTGGGATCATTATGGCAATTTCCACCTTCGATACTGCTGCCCTAAATAACGACCGAGTGCCTCTTCCGAACCATTGGCGAACTTTTTTAGGCCATCACACTCTTCTCCTGCCCACACTTCGCTTGTCCTGAATCTTTCTTGGGATGATCAATTGTAACAATACATATATTTTATTTTTTATAAAATATTTCAATAAATACATCATTGACTAAAACGAGTGTAATAATTACATCGAATTAACAAATCGTCGCTGTATTTTTAATATATTAACACTGCTGAAGGCAAGATGCTGCCCAATTTATGCTAAGTTTTTTTAATCATTTTAAAAGTTAGTAGTTAAGTGTTCCAATTTTGCTCTTTATTCACATGATAAATATTTTTCATGTATACTAAATGTATTTAGTAATAGTACACCAATTTATTAAAATGATGTAACATTATGTAGCGGCATTATTGGTAATAATTAATTTAATTATAAGTAACAAATATATTATAACATAAGTATCAAAAATCTAAATTCATCAAATTTTTCTAAAGAGGTTTTTAATATTTGCTCTTATTAATAAATACAATTAACATGTGTCTCGTGAAACTACTCTATACAATGCAGTCTATTCTATACGTCTATAATACTGTCGTGTTTTTTGTCGGAAGCTTTGAGTTTTTCTTGCATTTGTGTCAACATGTCTTGCATACGCCGTATCTGAAACAACGTTTGGTTTAGTTTTAAAGTTGTCTTGAAGAAAAATATAGCACTGTTAATGTAAAATTGGTCAAATCTAATAATTTTTATATTCATATGTCGTTTTAATAAGAATGGTCTATAATTTCATTAAGTTGTTTATCTTTAAAACTCATTGTAAGTATTCTGTAAAATTACAGCGTCGAACAAAGCGCTACCCGTCAAAGAGTTTCAATCAAATAAATAAAACGTAGCTCGGTGGCGTAGTGGATAAGCGCCGCGGCCCGCGATCGTAGTCGTTAAGCAACTTTCGCAAGGGTCGGTCACGGGATGGGTGACCAAAAAATTATTATCTCGAGCTACTCCGTGCTTCGGAAGGCACGTTAAGCCGTTGGTCCCGGCTGCATTTGCAGTCGTTAATACCCTCCAATCCGCATTGGGCCAGCGTGGAGGGTCATGGCCCATACTCCTTAACCATCCATAAGGAAGGCCTGAGCCCCTGCAGTGGGGACGTAAAAGGGCTGATGATGAAAACATTTATTAGGTAAGTACCTTTGAAGTAGGCTTTATTTGACTGGACCACTAATGCTATTACAGCGCTGTGCTCGACGCTGTATTTTGAGCAGAATAGCACTGCTATATTTTTAAAAGAAAGAATTTAAAAATAGTAATTAAAAATTTAACACAATCTTTAAAAGATTAGACGTAGTAACTCTTAAGTAAATATTAGACACTCATTTGCACAAACGCCGACTATATCCTCTAATAAATGTTCTCTATTAAAAAAATGTATCGGTAACGTCGCCTTAAACTAATAATTTTAATGAGCGATAATGAAACTGGCATCTGATTTAGGTAAACACGTCTCAAATTCTCAAATCACTTTCTTGGTTATTTTAAAAGGCTCAAAAATGTTATAGCTTAATGTGTTACAGCTAGTTGCAGAAACGTCCATACAAATAACCCATAGATACTAATTTGACATTCATTAGTCATAAACCTTAATGGATGTTTGTGCAACTGACCGTTATTGTTATAAAAAGAAAAAAGGATTTAACAGTGTCTGATTGCGTCCTTACCTCTTCGTCTTTCTGTAAAAGTAAGCGGTCTGTGTCTGTGATCACTACTTCATTGTTGTTGCCCATAGAATCTCTTTTCAATTTCCTGTAAAGAAATATATATATATAGATCCAAGTTTAAAAGTTTTTCTATGTTTATATATAAGGCAATCCTGACTGACTTTTGGCCAAAAATTGTAAGGCCGGGCATTAAAAAAACCTGAATAAAAAGGATTTTTAGAAATTCAACCTATAAGTGGGTGAAATAGGGGGTGAAGTTTATATGGGCCACGTGGGGGAAGCCACTGGCGGAAAACAAGTCTTGTATAAAGGGCTAGTGGTAATTAAAAATGTTCGACCGTAAGCTCTCGGTGTCAACCGATCAGAGTCAATCTAACGAGGGATTAACTTTTTTTTTCAAAATCTGAACAATTGCCCAGAACGGCGATAATGGGTGGGCTGCAAAATTGCCGGAGATTAGTATTATTAGTAGTCAATTCAAGATACTGACTTCGAAAGCCTTCCGAAGCACGGAGGCAGGGGCGGATCGTGAATTTGTGGGGCCCTAGGCTAATACTACTCAAAGGTCTATTAATTATTGAAATAATCGTAATTTTGTTAAGAAAACGTTTTCAACAGTACTTAATGTAAAAGTACCGTATCGTATGTAGTTTTTATTGGGGGTTCTCTTTCTTTTCACGGGGCCCTGGGCCTAAACATGTCAAGTCCTATGGTAGATCCGCCGCTGCACGGAGGAGCTCGAGATAATATATTTTTGGGCATCCATCTTATGACCGGTCCTTAAAACCGAATGCGTTCAGAGTTCGGTTTGGTGATCAACTTTCGAAGTCTAAAACAGCGGTAAAAGAATTATTATACAACAATAAATAAACCAACCCTCTTTCCCTCATAGCGTGCTGCGATATCTGTGAGATGCATTGGGCGCGGAAGTTCTCGTAGTGCACGTCCTGGGTCACATCTTTCAGGTCTTGCATGTGCGTCGATATGAGCATCGTGCGTAGCTTCGTGAAGTCTGAATGACGAGGATTCTCTACTGTAATAGAAAAATAAATAACAATTTAATAGGGGTGATGACAACTTTTTTATATTTTTATTTTACATATTCATAAAATACATCTAAAAAATATTTAAAAAAGTATTATTCATATAATAAGTTAAAGTCTAACAGCGCTACTTATAAACGTGGTATAAAATGTTATACCGAGAATTAGTGCCGAATACGCAAAATGTCAATTTATAAACTCGGTGTAACTTATGCTTAGCATAACCTGGATGTAACGTTCTAACAAAACTTATTCCACCGATATTCCGCCCGTCACGCTGTAAGAGTAAATTTAATTCCCAAATTCCCGCGAAAACGCCATTTCTGTCATGGCGTCGCTATGACGTCGCGGACCTCTGAAACTAATATCGTTCACTTCTATGTATGCATAAGGTTGAATTTTCTAAGTTCTGATATGAGTAAGGGCGTCACTACGCCATCGAGCTAGTTAAGTAATGTATGTCGAACCGTCGACGATGCCCCATGGGTACTGGCGGCCGCGCACACGTTTTCCGCCGACCTCTAGGACTGTATCAGCGGCCACTACCGCAAACGGCGCCGCTGCCTTCAGCTCGCGGTCCTGTTGCTTGAACTCTTCATCTTCATCGCTATCACACTCCGGGAACTGATACACCTGTGTTATAAAGCCACATACTCTATATGTAAGTATAATGGAAACATGAGCCAGGGCTTCGTGGGTTAGATGGGTGAAGTATACTGAACCACTTTTACTATAGGAGCAACACTGAACTCGCAAAAAAATCAGTTGTTCAATATAAACTTATTTTTGGGTGATGACTGGATGGTCTAATGTATGATTAGATAGTTTATTTTTTTTTTCATATATTGTTAGCCGATTTCCTTATAAAAATAAATTGTAAGTACAAAGACAGATTTCAAGAAGGAAAAGAAAAGGCATTTACAAATTATGGGGAATGTAACTTTTTATTTGCCCTACTTCTTATTCTAAAAATGTTTTAAGTGCATCTAGTAAAATGCAAAAAAACGAAATTAAATAATGTCAAGCTTTAAGCACACTAATAAACCTTTCTTCAATTTGTAAAAATATATTGAAGGATATACCTGAATTTGGTTTTCATCTAGGTCTGCCAAAATGCGCGTTTTGAGTCTTTTAACTTCAGCAGCAGTAAGAGAGTCTGCCTTTGCAATCACCACCACTATGTTGACCTTTCGGTGAAGACGCTTCATCATTTCTAGGTCCACTTGTCTCAAACTGAAAAAATACTTTTCGATTAAAACTGAAATATCTTATTTCTAAATAATTTGAAGAGTAATATTCTTTCTTTTTTAGGCTTCCATACTCAAAGGTAAAACCGACGGAGAGATGGACGGATAGCTCAGTCTTAAATACTTTTATTTATTATCGAGACAAGTAATTATTTGAGAGTAACTTAAGCAGATATTTTTAGTAAATATACTAGAAGATATGAAGAAAGAACTATTAATAGTTAGAATGCTATTATTATTAACATTTCTTCATTCAAATTCCTGTCTATTGGTGTAATCTACTTGCAAACGAGTGTTAGTAATAGGGTACTATTACTAAAACTACTAGTCAGTCCGTCTGTCACAAGGCTGTATTTTATATACCGGAATAGACAGTTGAAATCATAGGTGAAGTATTTTTGCTGCCGCTATATCAACAAATACTAAAAACATAACACTTTCCCTTCCACTGCAGTGGGGTAAAAACAGAATAAAATAAATATTTAAAGTGGGCCCCATACAATAATCCAATTCACACTTGGCCGGTTTATTATAAATCAACATTGTTATTTCCTGCAGTCGTAATGGCAGTACTGGTTATAAATTTATTGCATTTTGGATCTATGTAATGTTAACAATACTTTAGTTTAAAGTATAATGGCATGTCAATATTCTCAGTGCAGACGCTAAAATACTTGGCACTATGGACAAACCTTAGTGGTTTTTATAGTGTCTTCTAACCAACTTAACCAATCTATTTACAATGTCTTCCAACATTGTAAATAGATTGGATTGCAAAATAAAGAAAAAAATTGACAATCATGTGCTAGTTGAGTTTAATTGATCAATTATACCGAAACGGAAAATAAATAGGCCTATTTTATTAAAGCTTATTATGTCAATTCCGTGTATAAATTCTCTTCGAGACACTTCGAGTGTGTGTCTAATAGACAATACCGACTGTTGCCTAACAATTTATAGATGAGTGCTACTCTATTGATCTAGCCGCATTCTGAGTATATATATACAACTTTCTGCCAGCGGCTTCGCCCACGTGGTCCTGTATTATACATATAAACCTATCTCTTGTATCACTCCGTATATTGATGAAAACCGCAATAAAATCCGTTATGTAGTTTAAAAGTTCAAAATCTTTTAACGTACAGACAGGTAGTAAACTTGTTATAAAGCTATGTAGTATGGATACAAATAATATTAGGGGTTAAAGTAGCGATTGCCGTTTTATTGTAATAGGTTCCTTGAATTGACATAGATTCTTCATGGTTTGAGGTTTTCGAAAGAAACTTTGAAACATTTGAAAAATGTGAAACATTTGAATATCGACTTTCAATTGTTTTGTTATTCAACTCACAATTAGACACGAAAGATGGATACTGCGAAATATATACTGTGATTTTCGAATACGAGTTCCGACGCAGAAGTAACGCGGCAGAAACAGCCCGCAATATCAATGTTGCGTTTGGAGAGAGGTCTGCTAATGAACGCACCGTGTGATTTAACTTTACCTTACCCACAATATTGACTCATTTGCGTCAAACCAATAAAATTAAAAAATATGAAAAATGGGTGCCACATGGTTTGCCTGATCTGCAGAAAGAAATGTGTGTTGAAACTTGTGTTGCCTTGTTGAATCGGTACAGAAATTAAGGAATATTGGATCGAATTGTGACATGTAATGAAAAGTGGATTCTTTATGATAACTGTAAAAAAATGCATTGACTGACCCCAGGTCAAACGCCACAACAGTGTCCTAAAGCAAAACTTACCAATAAAAAGGTAATGGTAACTGTTTGGTGGTCTCAGCATGGTGTTATTCACTATAGTTTTCTCCGATCTGGTCGAGCAATAACGGCAAATTTCGAACAATGTTAGCAAAACTAGCAGTAAAACCGACTCCTGAAACGATCTTCACCATTATTGCTCCATAACAATGCGAGACCTCATACAGCACGAGAAACCGTTTTACAGTTAGTAGAAATCATTCGTCATCCTCCGTATTAGCCAGATCTTGCTCCAACGGACTGTCATTTTTTTCGTGATTTGGATAATTATTTACGTGACAAGAAGTTTTCTTCCCAGGAGGCAGTACAAAATGCTTTCACACAGTTTGTGCAGTCTAGATCCTCAGAGTTCTATCGCAAAGGAATAAATGACCTACTTATTAGTTGGCAGGAATGTATAGATAATAATGTAAATATTTTGATTAAATAAATTTGTTAAAAATTGAAAAATAAACAATTTGATTTTCAGTACAAATCGCCAATTTCATACATTAACCCCGATTATTAACTTGGTATGGTTCTAGCTAGAGCTTTGTGAACGGAAAACGGTTTGCATCGCGTATTTTGTGTTTTGTTATTTCCTACCTTTTTTTAAAAATAAAGAACCGACTGCAAACTTTAAAAGTGTTATATAATACTTATCTTAAAAGCGATTAATTCAAGAAAATAGAATTGAAGTGGGAGATCTTCTGTAAGTTATTAATTAAATGATAGGCACCCGAGTTTTTAAGTTTGAAGGCGGTTTAAAAAAAAGTTTTTATTACATGCTTTTTAGTGATACTTGATATTTCTATATAATAGGTAACACTAAAAATATTATATCCGAGCTTTCCGCCAGCAGATTCGCCCGCGTGGCCTAGGGAACTGCTTATTTGGATATCGATTCATATCATCACACGGATATAACTACAATTATAAAGTGAATAGTAAACAATGGTTACTATGGCAACGTTTTAATTCCCTATACAATTTTTCACTCAAATTTTCATCCCTTTATTTGCTGTTTTTCAGGATAAAATATAGCTTTTGTAGCTTCCCGATGGTGAAAGAATTTTTTAAATTATCCAGTAATTTCGGAGCCTATTCGTTGCCAACAAACAAACAAACTATCAAATCTTTTCTCTTTATAATATTACTAGCTTTCCGCCAATGGCTTCGCCTGCGTGGTCCCTAGGGAACTGTTTATTTGGAAATCGATTCATATCATATACTGATATAATTACAATGACATATTGAATAGTAAACAATGGTTACTACGGTAACGTTTTCATCTCTTTATTTGCTGTTTTTCGGGATAAAATAAACGTAGCTTCCCGTAGGTCAAATATTTTTTAAAATCGGTCCTGTTCAAGAAGAGATCGATTAACATACCTACATAATTTCTATAAAAAATATACATACTCCATGAATATAGAAAATCCTTCTTTCGGATTTTGAATGAATTCAAAATATGCAATCTTCTGTTTTTAGCTGAAATACATTACATATCATCTAAACATTTAGGTGATATCTAGTGAAAAGCGTATAGTTTTTTTTTTTATAAAAGGTAAACTACTGATTCAATTTCAATAAAATTTGAATGGTACCACACTCCATTATAATTGATTCGAATAAAAAAAGAATTTTGAAAATCGGTCAACACTTAGCGGAAATATCGGTGAACATAAGTAGGTTAAAGATAGTCTTTTTATATTATATACATTAAGTAATGGAGCTTAGTTATAGTTTGCTGTTGTATTAAACTACACCTATTATATTCTTAAAGTTTCAAAATATTGCCGAATTTCTTCATTTTCAGTTGCCTGGTAGCGCCGGTGGGGGCCGTATAACACATTTTGGAAAAAGGTGATCTTATAGATACTCAATGATGGCGACGGCTTTGCCTACCTTAGTGGTTTTATATTTGAATATGATTTTTTTCACATATTTCTTAATTACTGCTTGTATGTTTCTGTGTATCTAGTGTGTTTATATGTTTCCTTTAAAAATATATATTTTTCTGTGCTAATTTATTCCTTTTTATACATTTTCCTACTTATGTATGTGCTTCTAAAATATTATGCTAGTATATAAATAACTATGTAGGTCATACAGGGTTATACATGTTTGAAGTGTTATATTTAAAGATAAGAGGTATACACATTGTATTTGTTAATATTTCTAACTCTATCCAGTCACGTCGTCTGTGGCAGTTACAACACAATATGCTTCCTCAATACTTAGTGATATTTAGCAGCTATCTTTTCGTTATTGACCGTTGTTGACCTTCTACGATCTGTATTAGGATACATCGTGTTAATAGCAGATAACACTTTTTTACAAATGGTTTCTTCTTAAAACAAAGATAGTTTGTTTCGTTAAACTACATATATATATATATGTATATATATATTTGTATATAGTATGTATATGTGTGAAGTATTTATGCTTATATTGTTTTTCTTCCTACACAGTATATATGTATATACACCGTCCACTACCTCATTATTATTATTAGCTCATTTATGATTTAACTCCATCCTAAGGTTGCTGGAAGAGATCACTTTTAGTGATAAGGCCGCCATTTGTACGTCTCCTTTTTAAAATTAAAATTGTAAGTGTTATGTGTATGTACAATAAAGTATATTCTATTATATTCTATTCTAAACTATTAAGATAAGTACTCATTTCCGAAGAGAAAATGCTATAGAAAGTGCCCAATGAACCGAACAATTGAAAGGGTAAAATACAATGTATCGACCAAAGTCTCGGTAAATATTGTAATGGCTGTTTTGTTTTATTTCTTTTATTTTACGTTTTTACGAGTATATTCAGCCAGGTTTCCATCAAAGAATAGCTATAACAATTTTCATGATGGCAAGTTTTCTTTGCAAGTAATGCACTTTTATTCTTAAAAGTTCGGACTGAAAGATATTGTGACAAAAATTGGATAGCAGTTTTCGTGTCATTCCGTCATGGTAATCAAATTTATTATCGTGATCAAATGTGACTAATATCCAAGTTGAAGTATTTCATTAAAAATGAAGCTACGTTTCAAAATTGAAGTAAAGATAAATAAAAGCAACTGACCTGTGGGCCCATGGCGGAACGAAGTAGAGGCAGCAGTGGACTCTATTGTCTTGCATATGTCGTCGGTTCAGGCCGCTCTCATCGGTGAAGTACTGTCGGAACTGTTCATCAATGTAGGCGGAGCACACGCGCCACGAGTCCTCGCAGTTGATGGCGTCGCCGAAGCCTGGGGTGTCCACGATGGTCAATCGGAGTTTAACGCCTCGCTCCTCTATTTCCATGGTCTTTTTCTCTATAGATGTCGTCTTTTCTATCCTGTCTGAAAGTTTAACACTTTGAAGGAGTATTGTAACGTTGCATTCGTTCAACAGGACAGGTTCAACTAATCAGAAATTAATTTGGGTTTTTCGGACACAAGGTGTTAAAAGACGGAGTGGGCGTCACCAAGGCGGGGGTGCGCGTGCGGGAGGGGAGTTTAGATCTATGAGTATATTCAATATTATGATATCTTTTACTTTGACATTGTCAGAATTACTTGAAATAGTTAGATGTAGAATAGATGAGCTAGGATTGAGCGTGATCCGGAAAACAATATTTTTAAAAAATCGAGGAGAACATTAGGCGTAAGTAGGTACATACCTTGTGCATCGAGTATTTTTCTGTTTTTATAGAGATCGCCTAAGAATAAGCTGTTGATGAGGGTGGACTTCCCGAGGCCAGACTCCCCGACGACCATGAGCGTGAAGTCAAACCCTCGCTTCACTGATTTGCGATGCACCTGCTCCGGCAGCGTTGCGAAACCGATGTAGTCTCGCTCGCCTCGGTCGCGTTCTGTTCACAATAAACAATAATAAAACAATTAAATTCTGAATAACAATTACACATCTCATAAATACGAACATGTAATCTTATACAAACATAGGGTTTGGCTTAACTTTATATGGCAAAGTATATGATGAAGCAATTATTTTGGTTCAGGGATAAAATAACTTGTAAATCGCACAAGTCATATTTTCAACAAATGGTTATAGATTACAGTATAAATTAAGTATTATTGCATCAGTTTTGAATATTAAATAGCTCAATTCTCTACACGTTGTCGCTTACAGAAATAAAATCAAGCAGAGTAGAACGGTAAATTAAACAAATTAGATTCTTTTCACGTTTCGATCATCTCTGAAAATGAGGTTAATTAATGAATAATTAATTTAATACGGTTTCATTGGTTTCTAATAGCCAGTATAGAAATCGAACGCTAAAATCAGAAAAAACATCCTTCAAACTAATTTGGTAATACATATCGTGTAATGATACTCTGATTGTGCAACTATTTGCGTCAGTCTAGTTTTTGATGCCGGCTCTCCTTATTAGAGGTGGATAGCCTGTTTGCCTAGAGGAAGCAGGGCATTGCAGCGCGTGCAGCGGAGTGGAACATGACAGGTTCCCTACACGCCGCCGGTTCACGCCAGGGACGCTCAATGGGGTCACTTAGCGGAAGCGGCGGACGTGCCTATCACTTGACCACAATAAACAATTTGATGCTCACTGATACTAGATTAATTGTTAGGCAAATCGACTACGTACTCTTACGTACGAATGTGACTCAATCGTGAGCTGACACTTAATTAATGTGAAACAGCTTGTATGTGTGTATTTACTACTTAGATTTTTCATTTTGTTACTTTAAGACCATTTTTCTTTCTTTCGAAAATAGTTAAAATGTAACCATCTTAAGAATCAAACTACTTTCACCAACCTTTTTATTATCAATTATGACTAGGTATGCCACCTTTTTTTTTCCCAATTAAAGTACATTAGTTATTATAGGTACAAAAACAAAGTAAATTGAATCAATATAAAGTATTATTTATTTTTCTTTATTACTAAACTTAAAAATACATTTTCTTTTTATTTATCTATTTAGCATGAATCGATAAATTTTGTTTAACGAAAAAATACTTATCACTAAGCTTCAAAATCACAAACAAATCAAATCATACGACATAAAGTATTTTCGTGTACTTCATTTTTCTTATAGAGTATAGAGTACAATTGTCTGAAATAACGTACAATACTTTATTATAAAGTACGAGTGGTAACCCTAATTATGACCCAAGGCTAAAGGTAACTGCCAAAATTCTCAAGCAATTATTTTGATGCTAGTAAATAAGTTATGTATAATTTTTAGATAATATCTAATCAAACAATTTAATTGTTACGTATGTAACAATAAATAATTTCACCTACGGCACAGATACATACAAACTGTACCTGTGGTAAGCTACATAATCCGCGGGTGACATATGCTGTAATTTACGAGGGTGAAGTTGCAAGATAATAGATAGTTATAAAGAAAAACTTATTTATTTAATTACTAACTTAATTTCAGATATTATTATAATGTTATTAATAAGTATTTGTATCAGTATCACTAGAGGCAATCGATAATATTTCTTGCTATTGTGTCCGACTAAAACTGATTTTTACGACCGAAATTGTAACCGAAACAGAATTTACGCACATGGCTCACTTTCGGCCGAAGCCGAAACGAAATTTCCTTACGAGGATCACATTTTAAAACTTACAGAATTCAAAATAAATGCAATTTCGGTTTCAGTCGTAGTTTCGGCAGGTTTGCCACCGAAACCGACCCGTTTTATGCCAACACTCGACCGAAACTTTACGGTCTAACAATACTTGCTATATTGCAATAGTTTATATAATCTTAACCTCTCCGAGTTGATGACTAAAAAATATTAATTTTCTTACACACGCTATCTAAACCTTTCTCACGACCGCAAACAATGCATATATTTACAATCATCTTTCTTTTATAAAACAATCTAAATAACATTCAATTGCTCACAAAAACCAAACACTATTGTTTTTATTGACTGTTGCAGAAAATATCTATTGTTGTACGGGATAAAAATTCTGAAACGTGACAAACAAGAACAAGAAACTTACCATGTAATACGTAACTTAACAATGGAGATTAACTTTGTTAAATATGTACTGAGCTCTGCATATAATCTGACAAAAACAAAGTGAAACTTAAGTTAAAGGGCTATATAGGGAACGATCTCTGCTCTTAATCATTAGCTTTCCGCCAACAGTTTCGCCTGGGTGATCCTGCATTTTTATACATAACCTTCATCTTGAATAAGTCAGTACAATGATGAAAACCGATGAAAAGAAATCCGTGGTGTAGTTTAAAAGTTCTCAACGTACAGACAGTGGGAAGCAACTTTGTTTTATACTATCTATAGATGTTGAGAAAATTGACACAATGATTGTAACGAGCAATCGCTTCGTCTGTGGAGAGGATATATGGCGCGATGGATCGTTACGGTTTTCTTCGGATCCATCATAATGACGTATTTTACCGTATAGGGCCCTTTATTATTAGAAAACTGTGCCCTCATTCTTGACAGAGGTTTCGAGAGTTCACCAACTGCAAAAAAGTTTGCACTTTTTCGTGACATAACTACAAACTATTTTCGGATATTTTTATACACTTGTGATATAAGACAATGCTTCTCGTCAAAATTTATTATTAGAGCTCAAAGGAAGGCCTCCTATAGGTTTACTTTTGTGAGTCAAAATGATCTTTATTGAATAAAATTTTTGGTTCATTAATTTTTACATACCGGTCTTTGGTTAGTGTTACTTGCAAAACTAAGAAAGATTTTTTCGAATTGAGTATTTGATATTAATTCCACTTTGATATGTTCGTGGATTCCCGAGAAAGTGCTTTGACTGACGGACGGTTAAGTTAAAGGTTTCTTTTTCCTTTTGAGGTGCCAAACCGCAGAAATAATGGTGTCTTACAAAATAATAAGTTTTCTCTTTTGGTGTTATTCAGTTTCACGTGTTGTCATTATCTGTTATTGATTACACGAAATACACATATACGTTATGTACACACAGTAAATTTACTAGATATTTACGTGATCGAATTTGAATTTAAATTCAAATGTGTTAAGAATTGGAATCAATTAGAAAAACTTGACACTTTTTGTTATCTTTTGAGTGTATATTGCGACAAAAAATCTCCCAAATCGTATATTTGTTCTTATACTTTGTACCAATTCAAATAATAAAAATAAACACATATATATTATCTTTTTAAACAAGCATTTTCGTTTCAAGCAAATGTATTTTTCTATAAATTTTTTGCTTAATGTAGATAAACGTTATTTAAAGGGATATTTTGTTAATATCACATAAAATGACTATAATTGTCATTGTTTTTAACCGACTTCAAAATGAGGAGGAGGTTATATGTTCGACGGCGATGTATGTTTTTTATATATATATGTTCACCGATATTTACGCCAATTGTTGACGGATTTTCTAAATTCTTTTTTTTTATTGGACAGCTTAATGGACCCTGGTCCCATAGGTGTCCCATTCAAATTTTATTGTAAACGGATCAGTAGTTTTTATTTTATTATAAAACAAAATACGCGTTTCATCAGATATCACCTAAATATTTAGATTATTTGTTTATTTTAGCTAAAAATCAAATGATTGCGTATTTTGCATAAATTCAAAATCCGAAAGGGAGGAATTCTATGTTCAACGAAAATGTATACTTTGCTGTTGATCCATATTTTTTTATGAAAGTCAAGAATAAAGCATATAAAGAAGGTACTTGAGAATAGGTATGATCATCGATTTCTTCTTGCACTGTGAACCAATTTCTATGAAACTAGCTGTTTTCCCGCGACTTCGCCTGCGTAAATCATAGCCTATGTCTCCCGGGTGTTATGTAGCTTATTGTAGATGAAAGTTTCGGGTTTCGGGGCTTATCTAATGTAAACAAATAAGCAATCAAATATTTGCTCTTTAAAATATGAACATAGATTATTGTAAAAAAATGACGTAAAAAAATACGTCAAGCAAATAAACAAATTATCCTTTTCTAAGACTTCTACTATGTTGAATATGTTTATGACAGATTTTTAATATTTTTAGTGTTATCTATCTATTATATAAAAAAATATCGATATCACTAAAAAGCATAAAATAAAAACTTAAAAAATATAACCGACTTCAAACTTTTAAAAAGCGATAAATAATAATTATCTCAAAAGCGACTATATATGCAACTATATGTATATTTAACTTTTTATGATATTTATGTTTATTACTTTTTAAGTCATTAAACTTTTTTACTACCCATTGTTAGAATTTGGATAAGTTATGAATTACTTATACAACTACTATTGTAGAGAAATTTCACTGGAGGGTTCGGTTGAATATGAATGTGTATAATTACACACATGTCGCCTTCCTTTATAGTATTTTAGGAACATAGATCTAATTGAAATTAATTTACCAAATTAAGGTTGTTAAGCCGCTCGCTGTTAGCATTTGATAAAAATGATATTTTTCTGTTTATCGTTATTTCTATGTTATAATGTAGGACTTACGAATTTTGATGACAGTAGTAAAGGGTGATATAGTGTTTTTATTTTGATCTTCATCCAAATCTTTTAAGTCGTTCAAATTGTTTTTGTCCTTATCTGAATTATCACTTAAGTGGACATCCACTATACTAAATGTGTCACTTTTCTCCATCACCGGATGAATATGGGGCGCGTTATGTAATCTTGGCATCCTTATGTACACGTATTGAGTAATCGATGTTACGCAGATACAAAAGTTTCGATAAAATCGTGCGAACTCGATACGCGGAATTGTATTGTTTTTTTAAAAGAAAATCATGCCGATACTGTGAATGGTTTGAAGTTGCGCGGTTTGGGCGCGTTCCAGACTGCGCGGTATCGTTGCGCGCACGCAAGCGATCGCGCGCTGTTCCGACCACGCTCACAATGCTACTGCGCGCGCCTCTACTGACTCTTATCAGGTAAAGGCTGTGCGTGAGTTTAATTTACATCATTTAACTTCATATCTACCAATTAAAACTTTATTAATACGTTCGGTGTCTTTGTAACTATCTATTTTAAAATGAGAAATGAATGTTTTGTAGGCAAGTCTTGTTAATAGAGCTTAGAACTTTTATATTTCTCTTAATGTTATCGTGTGTTGTAAGCTACAGATCATGTTTAAAATATAATTACTAGGTGGTGATCTACCGTGAGTAGAGGTAAGAGTTCTTTCTTTTTATTAATGTAAATTGGTGATTCTAATGTGAGTCGATTTGCTTGCTCAATTGAGAGATGCTGCGAGTCAGCGGTATTCATCCGGTGACGCAACCGGTGTGGTACTTAGTCGATCGAAAGAATGTACGTGTGATAACTAGTGCGTTCTGCCTATGTGACATACATTATTATTCATACAATGAAACAGATTAACAACTAGGTTAAAGGTACTTTGTTGTGGTCTCTGACCCGCGTAGGTCTTGCCCTTTTGAACTGCAGTAAAAGGATATGATTGTCTGAATTAACGACAGATTAGAAAATGTAATATATGAATAGGTATGACCATGTAACATAACATGTAATTTTTTACTATTTTTTGTTAATCCAATTTATCTATTACTACTGCACTAAGATGCCCAGCTCGTGGTATTTGATAAATCTGCATGAGATTTGATTTCTAGTCACACTAAATTTAGAATGTGAAATATTCTTCCAATTTTCTGTTACTTTTAAGAAATCTTGGAATGTAAACAATGTGTTATAATGACAAAAAACTTCGGTATTAACTGTTTTATTCCCACTGCTGTGGTTCAGGATTCCCTATGGATGGAATCAAATGGGAGAATTTTTGCAATAGGATGGGGGTCCCCCATGCCTTTGCAAAAGTTGCTACACTTCCGCACCGCAGACCGAACGAGTTAGCCACTGCGCCATTTAGCGCCTCTATTTTTTCAATTGTTAAATCTTTAAATAATATTATGAGTTTATTTTATAAACAAGGTATACTTCGTTTTACTACTAAGAAACAACTCCTACGGCTACGCTCTAGGCGTTATCTCAATTTGTTGTAGGGCGGTTGCGCCGTTTCTTTATTTCTCTATTGTCTCATACTTGACTGACAGAGTACAGAGGGTTGATATCAATGGCAAAAGATCCCCTGGATCGAAAATTAAGATGGGGGTTCCGCAGGGCTCAATACTTGGTCCTTTCTTGTTTTTGATTTACATAAATGACTTGCCTTATTTCGTAAGGGATGATCACGAAATAGTTTTGTTTGCGGATGACACTTCACTCTTGTTTAAAATTAAAAGAGGGTTACCTCTAAATGACGATGTGAACAATTCTATCGCTAAAGTAGTACATTGGTTTAATGTAAATAATCTTCTCCTTAATGAAGGAAAAACAAAATGCTTAAAATTTGTACTACCTAATGTTAAAAAAGTAGATATAAATGTTAATGTAAAAGATAAGAACATGGGCCTTGTGGATACCACAGTATTTTTAGGAATAACATTAGATTCTAAACTACAGTGGGGCCCACATATTGATAGATTGTCGAGTAGACTTAGCTCTGCAGCATCTGCCGTAATGAAGATACGTAGGTTAACTGACATAGATACTGCCAGATTAGTATACTTCAGTTACTTTCATAGTGTTATGTCGTACGGTATCCTATTGTGGGGAAATGCTGCCGACATACAAACAATTTTTGTGCTTCAGAAAAGAGCAATTCGATCAATTTATAATCTTAGGATTAGGGACTCTTTAAGGGAGAAATTTAAGGAAATAGACATTATGACTGTTGCTTCTCAATACATATACGAGAACTTAATGTACGTTCGTAAAAATATTAGTTTGTTTTCTATAAAAAGTGATGTACACAATTTGAATACAAGAAATAAAAATAAATTAACGGTGCCTGTCACTAGACTGCAAAAAGTTAATAACTCTTTCAAGGGTCTTTGTGTGCGCTTCTACAATAAGGTCCCAAGCAAAATACAACAATTAGATATCATGCAGTTTAAATCTACTATTAAAAAAATACTTATTAAAAAAGCTTATTATAAGGTATCCGATTATATAACAGATAAGAACGCTTGGACTTGAGATGATCCAGCAACTGGATAGGTGATTACTTCTAAACTCATTATCTTGTTTCCATTATTATTAAATGATTATGTTATTATTATAAGACCATATTTTTTTTTTATCTCTGTTTATAATGTATTGATCTGGTAATGACATGGTTTTTGTAAATGTCATTACTCATATTAGAGCTGGTGAGTTTCTTGCTCGTTCTTCTTATCAGCCAAAAGACGTCCTGAACGAGTGGTAGGGAAAAAATGTTGGACGATTCAAAAGTACTTTTAAGAAGTCTATTTGAATAAAGATTATTTTGACTTTGACTTTGTAACAAGACGTAGGTGTACTTACTTCCATTAAATATTTGATTGACGGCTAGGAATGTAGTTCCATAAACCAAAGTATATAATTACCAATTATTATTTTACTCACCCATTGTCATTTTGCGGAGTCTTGTAGTCTTGAAGCTCAGTAAATATAAATCGTCGTGAAAATTTACATCAAATTTTCATATTGCTTTAGTTTATTTTAGAATTAAATTTCATCTAACAAGAAAAAACATTTTATATACGCCCGGGTTCTGAGAAGATTAAAAGTATACAAAACCGATCGATCGATACGACTATAGCCACTAAAGGGTTAATTTATAAATTACGATTACGAAGAAATTAAGAACTTTCTCACAGAGTTCTCACAAAATCATCTATTCACTGAGTCCATGATGTTTTACAATCATAATTCACTAGAAAAATCATCTTGAGATGTAGCACTAAATTATCACTGCAGTTTCTGATAGCTGTCGACATTTATCATCTACACTACACATCTAAATGAGAGCGAAATAAACAGTCGCGCGACACCTAAAATAATATCACGATGCTAATCCTAAAAATTGTATATGTAATCAAAAACAGTAGAAAAAATCGAAGAAAAATAAAATCACATTGTTTGTGCGCCGTCCTGTGCGTGTTGAGTTACGTAATGTGAGGGTTCCCGGGCACAGCTCGCACTTTTGCCCTCCTACCCTCGCCCCCCAACCCGCCCCCGCTCCCGCCACGCTCTTGCGCGGGAAATCTGCGAGTCTTTAGGGCGTCACTGCGCGCGCAACCCTACACGGTCGATAGCACGAGCTTGCGCCCTCGCCCTTGCTATCTTTGTGTACCGTGACTTCTCTTGCCCTAGATGTTGGATGTGGCACGCGCCCCACTGAGATTCAAGGCCGCCGGAAGCATTAGATATATGTATAATGCAATGTTAATTTAAAAATGCAGTGCTACGTTAAGTGGAAATAAAAAATGAAAAATTTCATCAAAATTTATAATATATATAGAGAAAGAACTCTCTCGGATCTGGAAACGAACCTAAAAACCTAGAAATTAAGCGAATGCTAGGTAGAATAGAGATCTTTAAGTACTCACCTAAATAGCGAGGATCATTGGTTCGAGTCCTTCCCGTTAATTAATTCTAAATGCAAAATTCATTAAACATAATTAAAATACATCACGTAGATACGTACACAATCAAATAAATATATATCATTAATAATTTTGAAAAAACGATGTTTTAAAATTAAGCTGAGAAAATAACAAATCACCCACAGTTACATAATCTAGCTGACCCTATGTTAATGTTATTTTAGTTCAGGAATCCAGATTTAATTTTTAATTTCCCTAAATCAAATATCTGCTCTGCCGTCCACATAACGTATACCTTTTGAATTAATTATGTCAAATAACTTAATGGGGAGACGACCCACGCTTTACACATTGTTTGCCCCACAGTAAAAGTCTGTTCTTCACAATAAAATTCGGGTATCTCTACCCATATTTTATAGTGGAGTTTTTATGTTTTCTTCTTTTAATTCTTCATAAAACAGTTAAATTTTTAAATTACATCCTTGTCTAAACTGTTACAATAATTGTCAGACAGAAAGTACTTAACTACAATTTAAATAAAGTAGTAATAGTAGTCAATGAAATTTACATTGGTGTTTGACATCCTAAGATTTTTTGGAATTTTGATCTAATTGCAATTGTATGAGGAATAAAGTAACGCATATTAATCACCCCATTAAAGATTTAGCCCTTTCGCACTAAGAAACAATTTATTAATGATTATTTAAATGATAATCTATATTGTCGTATGCATTGTTTGTAGAAAATTTATAATAATCGTATTCTTCAATCCACTAATAATAGGAAGTTAAAAATATAAATTATTACTATATTTTCCCTTATGGTCTTATTAGCTCATTACTACTCTAAATTCTCTTGTTTCGAGAAAATTATTTGTGTTCGTATTCTGAAACCCCACTGCCAGCTAGTTTCTATATTTTACGTTAAAACTGTAAATCATGTCTATGTTTTGTCATTTTAATCTTATCAAATGGTTTTCATATTCAAACGTGAAACGACTCTGGGGCAGTTTTGGGTCATTTCCATAGCTTAATACGCTAGCACGACATATTTTTTACATCATGAAAAATCGATAAAGTTGCGGATTGCATTATCAATTATGTAGAAATTTTAAAAAGTGGGGATTATAACTAGCTGCGCCCGCAACTTCGTCTGCGTGGGAAGTATTTTGATAGAATTCTTTTATCCCTAAGGATGGAGTCGAATCAAATAAGATCAATGGGCCATAACCCATTTAATGCGGGCAACTAATGCGGGCTTAATGCGGATCGGTGGGTGTTAACGTTGCTGATGCAGCCAGAACTAACGGGTTAACGTACATTGTGCCAGTGTTGTGCACAGTGCTCAGGATAATAATGTTTTGGTCACCCATCCTGTCCTTACGAATGTAATTTTCTATCTTTTTTCTTGTTCTCGCGCTCTGGTTGTCGTTTGTGTCTGAGAATTTTATTCATACCTTG